CCCCTCTGGAACATTTCCACTTGTGTCAGTTTTCTTTCCCAGATCAAATGTGTCTTGTGTTGCTTTAAACATATTCTGTGGGTAGGAGGAGAAAACAGACTTCCTGCTCTGGGAAGCACTTGCTTACCTTGGTAAGACCAAGGATTCTTGATAAATCCTGTTCATTCCTCTCTTCATAGGTACCACAGCTCCCAGGATTTTCCTGGATCACACCTTGTATCTCTTCCCCAAGTATCGTGTATATTGGTCTAAGAGACGTGGACCCTCCTGAACAGTAAGTTGAACGTTAGGGTTAAGCTGGGCCTGTTCTGGCCACTTATGTTGTTTGAAAGGTGAAGCTTGACTTAATCTTAAAACAGATATGAAGGCAAAAAAACCCTAAATATACATGTTAAAAATGCTAATTAAGCCAGGACTCTTTCCTTTATATCTCACCACAGTTTCATTTTAAAGAACTATGATATCCAGTATTTTTCCATGAGAGACATTGATCGACTTGGTATCCAGAAGGTCATGGAACAGACATTTGATCTGCTGATTGGCAAGTAAGTAACTACAATGGATGTCTACTTCTAGGTCCCAAAGAAAACAGAGCAAACTCCCAGTAAGCAGCACACTTTAGCCTGTCTCTTGAGGACAGCAACTTAAAAAAAAACAAAACATGTATATATATAAATTAAGTAGTTCGGAAAGGTATAATATGAAATATAGGTCATATTCTTCCTCTGGGGTTGGAAGAGGATTTTCTTTAAGTCACTGCCCAGATCCTCTATCTCTCATGAATTTCTCTTTATTTCCACTTAATTTTGGGGGGGCAGCTGGCCAGTACAGGGATCGAACCCTCGACCGGATGTTATCAGCACTACACTAGTTAACCGTCCAGCCCCTTTATCTCCATTTTAATGCCTATCTTTTGAGATAACATTCATTGTCCTAACTGTCCTATTCTTTCTTCCCAGCCTCACTGTTGCTTCATCTGAGTTTTATATTAAGCAAATCTTGGTAACCTAACAAGATGGTAGATGAATGCTAATCAAATGCCAGTTTTAAGAGCATTTTCCCAGTACTGAATCTTTACTTCTGGCTGATCAGTGTCAGAATTGCCATCTGGTAGTATGCCATTTCTTAAGCTGTTAAGAAATTTAGTTATTTGGCATAAGGGTGTTATATGTTAGTTTCAGCCACTGGACACCTGGGCTAAACTGAAGTTAGAATTGGAAGATAAAGGGCCAGCCCGTGGCTCACTTGGGAGAGTGTGGCGCCGATAACACCAAGGCCACGGGTTTGGATCCCTAAATAGGGATGGCCAGTTAGCTCACTTGGGAGAGCGTGGTGCTGACAACAACAAGTCAAGGGTTAAGATCCTCTTACTGGTCGTCTTTAAAAAAAAAAAAAAGAATTGGAAGATAAGACTGCAGAAACCAAGTCAGGGTTAAGTTCAGCTACTGTTATTCTGGGAGGATAACAGCAATAGTAACCTATATCAAGGCAACTTAAAATACATCACAGCCAAATCTCACTGAGAGCAAAGAATTCCCTCTATTGACACTTATTAATTTATGAGGTACTTATTGTCTGAGGCATGCACAGCAAATGGCAGTACCACAAAGTGGTAAACAGCAATAGTAACCTATATCAAGGCAACTTAAAATACATCACAGCCAAATCTCACTGAGAGCGAAGAATTCCCTCTATTGACACTTATTAATTTATGAGGTACTTATTGTCTGAGGCATGCACAGCAAATGGCAGTACCACAAAGTGGTAAACTAAGTGGTAAGTAAGCTAATATGCTAATCTCAGTAACTTCCAGGAACATGAAACCTGGAAATAGGCTATATTAACAAAGTACCAGTACCAAGAGCAACAAAATCAAGGAGTTGCAACCATAGGAAGACACAACGAGGTAAGTAAGCTCTTATCCTCTTCCTTTCTAGGAGACAAAGGCCAATCCATCTGAGTTTTGATATTGATGCATTTGACCCTACACTGGCACCAGCCACAGGAACACCTGTTGTAGGGGGACTGACCTATCGAGAAGGCATGTATATTACTGAGGAAATACACAATACAGGTATGTAGCAACCAGGTCTGCAGCCTGTTAACTATGTAAGTAAATATGCTGAACTCTCTTATCTGCAGGGTATTTTTCCTACTATTCCATGCCATTGCAGACTTTGTTTTTGCTTAAACTTTTATGGCTAAAAATCATATGGCCAGGCTAGTAAAGGATAAAGTCACTTTAAGGCATGTTTAGACCTGGCTGGTACAAAAATATGCTAAGGTAATATTCAATAAAAAATTGTGTCTACTTAAACACATTTTCCCCCCTACTCTACTTCCTCCTCTCCTATTTATAAGTATTTAAATGTAAATAATAACAGTAATAAAAAATTAAATTATTTACAAGAATAAATTACCAAACTGATACAGTTCCTTATGTCTGTGTTATCTAAAGACAGATTAAGATAAGAAGGCAAAGCCAGGTAGTTATAATTTTTACTCTAATGTTAAGAGCTTAGTTCACTGGGAGTTGGGAATTTGGAGTTAAAGCTTTTTTCCTGAAAATATTTGCAAGTTGGACAATATCGTGGGTCCTTTTATATAGGAGAAATACTACAGCTTACTTGATAGGAGCTAGATGAATGGCTGATAGAGTAGTTAGATGAAATCTAGATTATCAAGAGTGGCTGCAAGGGTTTACTGTCCCAAAACTCAGACTTGTTTGCAAAGTTTCCATTTGTCAGAATTTTCTGGTTTTAAGGCTATTTTAAATGACTTTTCATTCCAAAATTTAAACTACCACATGATGCTGCTTCAGTAACTGGGGTGTAGAAAGCAGCATAGAGACCCTAGATTGAAAAGTCCAGGGCTATCGGGAACCCTTGACTAGTTGGTATAGAAGTGGACATTGAGAAATGGTCTGGGCCTTAGGCAGTAAATGGAGGAAGACAGTGCTTGTCTATGAGATCTGACAGTGGCAAGACAGTCTCCTTCTCACATCCACGATCTTAGATGTTGCCAGTAGCCCTTGTGTTAGTGGCCAGAGAACCTGGGAGTTCAATACTCCACTTTGCTTCCCAGAAACACCACTTAGAGCAGGGGTTAATAACCTCTAGCACTTAGATGTGGCAGTGGTCATGCCTTGTCCCTCCCTTCCCCTGCTGCAATATTATTTTATTCCAAGACTGTTACGACACTTAACTCTATATATAGTTTGCTTAAACTAATTGACAGGGTGGCAGTTGTCTGGCAACATAGGCTATATATATATATATATATATATTTTTTTTTTTTTTAATAGCACAAACTCTTGATTACTTCTACTGGGATATGCTAACAGTACAGGGTTATTCAGTGGATATCAGACACAAATCATCAGGGACACAGGTACATGTGCAGGACATGATGGAAATGCTACAGTAACATGCCTGTTCATTGCAGTTTTGCACAGTGTACTCAACCATGCATTGCTAATAAGGGAAGATACATTGAATATAATGGCATTTCACCTATAATGTAATACCAATAAACCATTAGGTGCATCTACTACCCATGTTTCCAGACTTTATGGCTCCCCTGAATATTCTCAGATACTTGTATGCTTGAATACTAGTTTGTTCAGATGACTCCTGATGAGGTAGACTAACTTCACCCAGAATAACCAATTAAAAAGTTAAATTCTCTAGAGAAGGGGGGGATGGGAGTGGAGGGCAGGTCTGGATAGGTTCTTCTGGTCTCATCTTCCCTTCCCCTCAGCCTGCCCTAGGCCAAAGGAACAGTGCTGAGTACTTTGGCACAAGTTCTCAAATCCTCAGAGGAGGTAACTGGAGTCCAAATTAAACAATCAATGTATAGCTGAATCTTCTCTTGACCAATTACAAGATACTGGGTCCATCTGATGGGAGACCAAAAAAGTGTCAGACGTAGAACCTGCCCTCAGCTCAGGCCCATAGGAGCAAGATTAAGGTTTTCAGTAATAACTATATTTCAGAGCATGCAGTTTGATGCTTTAAGAGATATATAGTGTTAAGAGTTCAATAGTGGGAATAGAGCTCTGGCTAGTGAGAAATGGGAGATTTCCTCTGCCTTAGTTCTTCACTCATTTCTAAGCAGGCATACAGAAGGGTCCTAGTTATACAGGAGATGGCACACACATTTTCCTAACAAGCAGGCTGGACAGTCTTTCCAAAGTTCTTTCCTTATCCAGAAGCCTAACAGCTATGCCTATTTAGTTGAACAAGGACGATTTATTTCATTACATGAAAGGTTTCTTTTAATCCAACTCTAGTATACTTAAATTTATGGCTGAGAGAATGAATTTTGAAGTAGAAAATGACTCCTGTTTTTACCTTGGCTTGTTCTTCTTGTCCTGTTTCTCCCTGTTTAGGGTGGGACAACCCTCATTAAAAGTAGCAGCTAGGGAATTTTCTGAGGTTTTATCATACTTTGTTATTCCAGGGTTGCTGTCGGCACTGGATCTTGTTGAAGTCAATCCTCAGGCCACTTCAGAAGAAGAGGCAAAGGCTACGGCTAGCCTGGCAGTGGATGTGATTGCTTCAAGTTTTGGTCAGACAAGGGAAGGAGGGCACATTGTCTATGACCAGCTTCCTACTCCCAGATGTCCAGATGAATCAGAAAATGAAGAACGTGTGAGAATGTAGGGAATAGTATCCACTGACATGTTTTATGATGGGCATTCCACAACTGTGAGGCATTTGAGGGGATAGATGTTAAATGATTATCTGGGTCAGTATTGCCTGAATGAGAACATGTGCACCTTCTCACAACTGTAAAGTTTCCCTACCCGTTTTGGTGATCAATAATATTACTGTATTTGTTTTTTGCAATTCACGGGGTATTAATATGTTGTAGTACTATGTAAATATAAGGTCATAAACAGCATTTATTACCTTGGTATATCATACTGGTTGCTGTTCCTTCACATTTAAGTGGCTTTGCATCCTCCCTCCCTCCTCCCAGTCTGGCTACACAGTGCATCCTTGAACTGCTGGCCCACAGCAGCAACATGTTTATTTCACATCCCTAAGGCCATTCATTCACAGGGTCAAAGTTCTGGTCCACACACCCTTCCCTCTATAGGAAGTTCAATGCTTGCGAATGAATTTGTAATAAACCAGGCCTCCCAGGATGGCTAGTTCCAGTAAGATGATGATGGAAAGCAGCAGCTTGTTGGTTGTCACTCTACAAAGAGAAGCAAAGTGGGAAGTAGTCAGAAGTCTGGATAACCTTTTTTCTTTCTATTCTTAACACTTGGAGCCAAGGCTGGATACTGTGAAGCAGATTTTCTGTTTGCTCACACAGCCACTTAACAGTAAGAACTCATAAAGTTCTTTAGTTATAACTTAGGGATAACACTGTTTAGGAAGACTCTACTCCTCCTGCTAGTTCCATGACTGGGTTGTAGTCTTGTTTCATGCCAAACCACCTGTACCCAAGGTCATGCACATTACCCACTTACCCCCAACGGCAATATTTCCATTCTGTCCTGGTTCTGTTGCTGTTTGTTGGCACTTACCTCAAGGGTTTTTTTGTTTTTTTTCTTAAAGTCTATTTCTTGCTAACAAGACAACCCCCCAGAAAAGGGGCTGATTTCCATGAAGGGCAAGCACTAAGTAGTAACAGTGAAAACTTTTTTTGGTGGCCGGTCGGTACAGGGATCCAAACCCTTGACTTTGGTATTATAACATACTCTAGCCAACTGGCCAGCCCTAAAAACTGTTTGCTAATCAAGTTTTTATCAATATTATTACAAGGAATATGAAGCTCTATTATTCCCACATTATACTTTTAACAAAGGACTTTTGGGCTGGCCCATGGCTCACTCGGGAGAGTGCGGTGCTGATAACACCAAGGCCACAGGTTCAGATCCTATATAGGGATGGTTGGTTTGCTCACTGACAGCGTGGTGCTGACAACACCAAGCCAAGGGTTAAGATAACTTTACTGGTCATCTTTTAAAAAAATAAACAAAACAAAACAAAGGACTTTATCCTGGGATATTTAAGACCATATTACTTTATTTCTTTTGATGTGCTGGGTGATATTAATATAGCAGGACTATGTAGCATCAAGTATTGAGGTGTTTTATTAGGATCTTTGTAAGTCACTTTTAAGCTTTCCTGGTTGAAACATTAAGACTTAGGAGATATTAATTTGACTATTTTAAAAACTTACTTTCTGGACATTGAACGGAGAATCTTTCGACTTTTGCTCAAGTTTTCACTTGTGTTTACCAGCTGAGGAGAGAAAATAGCAATTATTTCCTCCTTTTCTCAAAAGTAGACACTATAGAATTTGAACATTCCTAAACTATCTAGGTTTTAAGGGTCTATGTTGAAAAACTCCATGAAATCAAACCCATTTAAATGAAGGCCTCTGCATATGAGTAGTACTCCTCAAGTAGGCTTAGGAATCATTATATCCCAGTGTTGCTGTGGCGGACAGACTTCCGGGACTTCAAATCCTTCACCTTGGCTACTCAAAACAGGAAGGCTTCATCTGTACCCAGCCAGTGACAGGTGAAGATGAAACAACTTTGAGCAACTTAAGATAAATTTCATCAGCCAAATTCAAGGAGAGGCTCTTGAGTTGGTGTTTGTTTTTGTAGGCTGTTGGGTTATCCTTTTCGGGATCTGGTTATTTTTTCCTCTCTTACACTGAGTTGCGAAAAGAATAAACCCCCATTGACCTTTCCATTTTGACTGCCTGTTACTAATCTAGATAGCTAGAAGATATTTCAACAGTGCCACCTGCCATCTATTCCCATTTCCCAGCGACTTTGGTAAATTAATCTCTCAGATCATTCCTTGGCTTTTAAATTCAACGAATCCACCTGGTACATTCAAAAATCACACAGTATGTAAGCAAGTTGCATTCTCCGTAACTTGCCTTGAATTTAGTACTTTGTGAGTTCTCACTGAAGGAAGGGCATCACTCTGTTTTAAGAATGGAGAATTGCAGCTATTAAGATGTATAAGAAAATCTCAAATCCCCACATTGAGCTAGTTACTTTCCTACCCAAATCTACTATCTGTTTTTTGGTTTGGATTTGCCTCACACTATTAAGAATACAGTATTCCATTGGCAAATTGTACTATTTTTTAAATTCCTATGTAGATTAATTTATGGAAAGAAATGTTATTTTTCAGAGCCTCTTAGAGTGATACTAGATAAGTCCCCGATATACAGTTATCATTTGGCCTAAGTATCTCTGTTTTTCCCCTACAATAATCCAACTTACCTTAGGTAACAGTAAAGGGTTATAGTCCAGTATTGAACTATAATTTATATACCTATATAAATCAGTGCAACTATTTTATGACATGTGGAATATAGTCCTGGCTTTAAATGACAGGGTCTTATCAGTAGACAATGTTTTCATAAGAATAGCAGAATACCTCGCTAGATGTATGAGAAATTAAAATCTTTGGTGACTTTGAATTTTTAAGTGCCTTTTGACATATCACCTCTCATTAGCAACAGAATAATACAGGAATTAATAAGGATGGAGAGGCTGCAATCTTATAGATGCAGAAATCAGGTTCCTTCACAGTCTTTTTTCCTTTATGAAAACAAAAATTTCCAGTGATGCCTTTAAATCTTAGGGGTAAAATTACTTCTAGGGCAGCTCTCCTCTCAGCCAAGCAAACTAAAAATTGAGAAAAGCATAAGAACCTCAAAAAGATTATTCCTTGAATTCAGAACTGCTGTAAGCTTCTGGCTTTAGTATGGCATCTGGGTGTAGTGGGCCCATCTACCTTCCCCATCTGCCCAGACTTACTCTACTCTTGGTACGTTCCAACTGGTCTCGCTGCTCTCCCAGCTCTTCTATGATTTCTGAGCCAATCTGGTCAGTCTCTGTGGCAATCCGATGAGAACGCTCAATACTTTGGGTGGCCCGGTTCAGGCTTTCAGTGCCTTGCAAAAGCAATGCCCTTTGAGACTGTAGCCGATTCTGTCAGTATGGAAGGGAAATATTAGACTTTGTCCATTATATATTCATTGTCAGCACATTATTTACAACCTTACTTGTGTAAGAAGGGATATAGTGAGCAATAATTTTCATTACTTTTAAGACAGAACCAAAGATGCTAATGAGCTACAAGATTCTGTTCAAGGTCATAGACTAGAGCATAACCTGAATCCAATCAACAGGATCACAATACCTCCCACTCCACTGCTTGCGACACTTAAGTGGGGCAAGGAAAGGATTAAAAACATTGGAGCATTTTCCCTGTGTTTGCGATGATTTGCACCGGTCCACATGCCTCCTGAACTAGCAACTTCTGAGAGGCAGCAGCTCAGATCTGGGAGGTGCAGAAGCTACCTGATAATGCATATATCCTGGAACTTTTTTTTGGTGGCTGGTAAGTCAGGGGACCCAAACCCTTGACCTTGGTATTACAACACTGTGCTGACTGAGCTAACCGGCCAGCCTGCATGTAACTTTGGTAGTGCTACAGGCAAACCAACTAAATTCTGCAGCCCTAGAAAACAGATTAATTTATTAAAGATTCCAACCTGCCTAGCACTGAGGAACCATAAATAAGCTATTCTTTTTCAGCATATAAATCATTTAGAAGTGTGACACAGCCACATTCTGGAAAAAACTTATGTGGCTATATTCTTGGTGAACCCCCCCAAAAAATTCACCTCAGACCAAACAAAAAAAAAACTTTGCAGTTGCTACATTGGTGATTCGCTTTCAGCGAAGACAGTATCTGGGGCCTAAGCAAGCTTCCCCAGCTGCCCTAATTTCCCATGTGGCCTAATTTTCCAAATCCCCACTGAAGGTCTGGCTCTACCTATAATCTGAAGCACAGACAGCATGAGGACAAAAGTAGCCTTTGTCAAGCCAGAATTAACAGCCATTGATAGAAATGAGTGCAACTCTAAGTTATTAGAGTTATTAATAACTCCACTCAGAGCACACACAATCAAAAGAGGCCCAGCTCACAGAGGCCCTATTATAGAGCAGGTGACTACTAGCAGTGGAATACGATCAAGAAGCTAAAAGTTAGGTTCCTGGAGCAGAAGTAAGAAGCATTTTCACTTAATAAGTGCCATATAGTCCAGCTAGATGAGGAAACCACTCAATGAGGTTCAAATAAACCCAGTTACCTTAGCTCAAAGGAAGAAAAAAAGTTTTTAATAAAAGATACAGATTTTCAACTGATAAGGCTAAAGAAAGTAAAAGACAATATGATCACAAATCAACATCAGGCAGATTTGGAATAATTCTACTGAAGGTGGTATGTATATCTAAATTATGTTTTCATAATTTCTGAAACTAACTTTAAGATTATTGCTTGGACCTATCCCCCCTCATCCCCCTTTTTGGGTAACAAATGACCAAAGTCACTTTTGCAACTTGCTCTTAAACAAGCTCCACCTGCCTGCCTTTTGCCCGTCTCCCTTCAAAAGTGATCTTATGACAGCTTCCAATCTGTGACAATCTCCTGAGTATCCATTTGAAAATTTTACATCACTTTCAAAATATCTAGTTTTGATATTAGCACTGTCAAGCCAGTGTCATTCTGAATGTCTCAAACTGTAGTCAAGATGCATCATGAAATGGGATTTATGTGTTTAAAACTGTATTAATAGGGCCGGCCTGTGGCTCACTCGGGAGAGTGTGGTGCTGATAACACCAAGGCCACGGGTTCGGATCCCATATAGGGCTGGCCTGTGGCTCACTTGGGAGAGCGTGGTGCTGACAACACCAAGTCAAGGGTTAAGATCCCCTTACCGGTCATCTTTAAAAAAAAAAAAAAAAACTATTAATAGCCTTTCTATACATGTTCAGTCTGCATTGGTAGGCCACTTTCCATCTCTCTTCCACACGACTTGCCAGGCAATTTCTACTTTGTAATGTATTTATGGAATATAATCCAAATGCAGCACATTAAACTTAATCTTTGTAAAGTGTTATTCCTTTAACTATCCAGCTTCTCTAGATGGTTTCAGAATACAGATTTAAAATTAGTCCAATTTTATCAATCAGAATCCTGAAGGCTACGGATACAGTCTGGCTCATTTCCAGTACAACAGAATAAGGTGTTAGAAAGCCCATTCTTGAGAAGCATCCTACATTCTCTTCCGTATTTCAGTTGTTGGGCCATCTTGATATTAAGGTAAAGGAAAGCTCAGATTAATTTTGTAACAATAGTCTTATAAATTAAAACCTTAAATGAATTTTTTTGGCATACTCGAGAAAGTGATTCTGAAGTTTATATGAAAAAATAAAAGCTCAAGAGGAAAAAATATTAGATCAATGGGTCAGAATACAGAGTCCAGATATAATAACAGGTAACACTTATATGCCACTAAATATAAAGCACTGTTTTTTTAAATATATATTAAGGATACAAAAAAGTCTAAATAAGCATATGATTTAGAAAGAGTGAGTATCCAAGCGGAGGAGAATTTGGTGCAGGAAAAAGGAAAAGAGTAAAAAAAAACCCAGGAGTCTAATATACATTGATAACGTGAACTGTAGTTCACTATACAGTTAATTCCTGTACCAAGGGCCCTTAAGGAAAAAAAAAGCAGCTAAAGCTTACCATATGCTCATTTTCCACAGCATATGTGCCATATTTCATGTCTCCTCGGCCCCCAGGTGTGGCTGTCAAAGGTGTGCTTCTCACCTCCCGATGGAGTTTGGCAAGGTCCCTCCGGTAGTTTCGAAGCTTAGACATCATGGGGTTACGGAAAGACAGGGGTGCATAACGTAGTTCCTCCTCCATCTCTGCCAGCTGGGAAGGCAGAATAAAGTGAGACAACGGCCTGGGTCTTCCTCTGTCATCTTGGGGATATGCCTAGTTTGGATTAATCAAACCACAGACTACCTCAAATGCTCAACTGTATGCTCCATGAGGCAGGGACCATGTCTGGCATGTTTACCTCATTCCAAATGCCTGGCATAGTGCCTAGCAAGCATAGAGCAGACATTCAAAAAATATGTGATGAATGAATGAAAAAACTAAAAGAAGCACTTCATATCTTAAATGTTTTACATCAGTCTCATTCAATCCTCACGGTAAATCAGTATGGTAGGAAATACTTTCTCCATTTCATATATAAGATTTAAACCTACTCAAGATCACACAGAAGAGGAGTCAAGATTCAAAATCTTCGGGCCGGCCCGGTGGCGCACTGCTACAGTGCGCTGCTTGGGAGCGCGGTGGCGCTCCCGCCGAGGGTTCGGATCCCACATACAGACCGGTTCCTGCTCACTGGCTGAGCGAGGTGCAGGCGCGGCTGAGCGAGGTGCGGGCATGGCACCGAGGTTTGCGATCCCGTTGCCGGTCCCGGTCTGGTACGGGCGCGACACTGAGGGTTGCGATCCGTTGCCAGACACGAAAAAAGACAAAAAGGAAAAAAAAAAAAAGATTCAAAATCTTCAAATTCTTGGCTCTTTCCAATATACCAAGTTTTTAGCCTGGTATGGTTCAAGATTGCTGTTAAGCTCTTTGAAGTCTACTGTCTTCTTCCTCTTTCTGAAAATCAGTTATGTTTGTGTCCATGTCAGTCCACAGAGCAGGTTGCTTTGGGGTATATTTCCTTCCACCTTCCTGGGATAAGTAAAATGTAACACCTGGACATGTTCACAAGAGTCCCTAAATTATTTTCATCTGCCTGGGATGATCAGAGTAGGATTGTTAATTTTGCTAAAATCAGAAAGTGTGTCAGCACGAAACAAATAAATCAGTAGATAGAAGATTTCAAAAATGCTACCAAGATGTTAACTGAAAGAGGAGACTGGCTATATAACAGGTATCACGGATATGCCCAACTGTACACAGATTCTAGTTTCTAGTATTCCCATTATGACAGAGATTGTTTCCAGACTGCTGGCTTGGTCCTTGGTCCTTCTTAAAATAGACACAGAACAGAGGAAAGGATGCAGATAAGCTTAACTTCTCAGAGCTTCATTGGGATAATTGGGAACTTGAAGTTGATTTTCAACAAAGAAGGAAATTCTTTGGCCTGAAAAGAATTTTTCTTTTAGTCCACTCTGGGGTAGCAAAAACTAGGGGAAACCATTTCTGGAGAGTACTACCACTCACTTGGATTTCAGTCCTGACGGGTTTGCTGAAGCTACTGCCTAATGAGGGGGAGCTAGATGGACTCTTGCTTCCAAAGGTTAGAGAAAATAAATTTTTTTTTTTTTTTTTTGAGGAAAAGCCACAGGTGAAGGGAGAAGCAGTTGTTAAACTGCTTAGCAACCTGAACCGACATCCTGTTTACTCATCCTGTTTATTCATGTCTTGACCAGGGTACTAAATCTAGCTTCTATACTGTCTTTTAAGACAGAAAGGAACATGGCTAGAACCACCTCTGAGCTACAGTTTCTATGACAGTAAATTTAACAAAGAACAGTAACTTAATGGCCAGCTCTTAAAAAGAGATTTAAAAAGACCACTCGGGTAAAGGTATGAAAATGCCCTTACTACTCATATCAGGAATATATTATCAACGACTCATACTGCAGGAGAGTTTTCAAGCTTTGTTCATTTGTATTTGTCAAACCCTCTCAACACCAATCCCCATCAGTTGGCCTCATTTAGTAAGAAATAACCAAGATCAAGAGAGAGGAACAGTTAATCTGATCAGATCATAGCATTTCTTCTGGAAAAGACCAACACTAGGTAGAAGTAACAAGGACTTGCTCCCTTTTCTCACCGTTTCATTTGCTTCTTGTTGCTTTTCATCAAAATCTCTGATCAACTTCTTCTTCTCTTCTAGAAACGATAGACAAGTATCAGATGTTCATTACTGCTTCCATAAATTTGTAGAGGCCATTCCCTCTGCTTAAACTTCCCATCCCTCCCTGGGTGGGGGTATCAGCACTTAATCATCCCTAAAAGGCATTTAGAAATGTATGGGGACTTGTTACCACAATGATTGAGAGAGAGGGAAGGGTATTACTATTGGCATTTAGTACCTAGGGAACAATACCCATGTTTGGGACAGTCCTGCATAACAATTATTTGGTCCTGAAAGCCAATAGAACCCTACTGAGAAACACTACAAGTCTAAGTTAATCATTCTCAACCTTTTCTCTTTCCTCTTGCTTATTGAGGGTTCAGGCCTGTACAGTTTGTACGGTGTGGTAGTGGTTTCTCCCTGATGGTGGCATGGGTAATGATGAGCACAATGAGAACATCATTCTCTGTTTCAGTTCTCTTTCAACCCTTCCCATTATGTTATTTTGGTGCTAGTATGTCTTTAATACCTAAAAATTACCAATCTCCCATTTTAACAAAAATAAAACAGGCTTCCTCTTCAAAGCAATAACATCTAACTAAAATAGTATTATTTTGCCTTCACTGTATTTTTTTCTGATCATTTAGGTAGATTACACAGATTTTCCATTAAAAAAAAAGTTTCCTTTTAAAATAACTTTTAACTTTGTGTATTAAATGCATTTTACATGAAATAAGTTTATATTAATTAAATGATTAAGTAATAGTAAAAATGGTACTTGAACTATGAAGGGGGTACTAGAATGCTGTCACATGGTAAACATTTGTGTAGGGAGGAAAGCCCTGGTTCATCAGTGGGATTAGGTTCTAGTACCAGCTTTGGGCCTGCCTCAGTGTGTAAACTTGGATAATTTTCTTCATCTCTTTGAGACCTCTCCTCCTTCCTTGGCTATAAAATGAGGAAGTAGGTCATCAGTTCATTACGAGCAGCCTGAATATTTTAAAAATGAATGTTCTCCCTGGAAATTGAGACATAATCTACTTATTACCACAAAGTTACTACTGCTTGCAATTTTTAAAAATGTCATCTTTTGGAATTACCTTCACAGTCTGGGGATAGTCTTTTTTTTTTTTTTTTTTTAATTGTGGCAAAATATACATACCATAAAAGTTACCATTTTCACAATTTTTAAGTGTATCGTTCAATGGCATTAAGTGCATTCACACTGTTATGCAACCATCAAACTAATCCATCTCCAGAACTTTTTCATTATCTCAAACTGAAACTTCATAGCCATTAAACACAAACTCCCCAATCTGTGAATTTGACTACACTAGCTACATCATTTAAGTGGAATCATACAATATTTGTTCTTTGGTGTTTGGCTTATTTCACTTAGCATGTCTTCAAGTTTCATCCATGTTCTAGCATGTACGGGGATGTGGTCTTTAAAGCTATTTATTTTTCATTCAGTATGACTTATATACAAGCCAGCGCTGCCATCAACTGAAGAAAGAGCAATCTTTTCCAATGCCAAAGAAGATAGGTGAGTTGGGCTTATGAGAGATGACATGTGGGCACTCAATATGCTGTTCTGAGATTTTCTTGGATAATTTTGTCTACACTAATTTTCATCTTAATCCCTGACTTTTGAACACAACCCCACATAAGATGCAATGCCACTGTAATGCTTTATATGGATTCACATTTTGTTAATCACAACAGCGCCTAATATTTCAGTTGTTTGCTGCTTTTTAAACCATCATAAATCATTTCGGATGTGGAAAGAGCAAATGACGGCACACCCTTTGCTATGTCTCATTGTCATGTGACACTCCTTTAATATATACAGGGCACTCCAGGTGAACTATTTCTCCACACTACTCACAAAACCCATGGCTCCATCTGTTGTTTTAAAAAACACAGAGGAGGGCTGGCCCGGTGGCACACTGCTACAGTGTGCCGCTTGGGAGCGCAGTGGCGCTCCCGCCTAGGGTTCGGATCCCATATACAGACCGGCCGCTCACTGGCTGAGCGAGGTGCGGACGCAACACCGAGGGTTGCGATCCCGTTGCCGGTCATGAAAAAAGACAAAAAAAAGGGGAAAAAAAAAAAACACAGAGGAAAGTTCAGTCATGTCAAATATATGCATCTTGACTATCTGTGAAATAACTGGAATATTCACCAAAGTAGCTGTTAGTATTTGTGAGGGGGCTGTGTTCTTAGCCCCCAGCAGTGAAGTAATACTTGCAAATCAAGAATGGCTACTTCCATGGAGCAGTATCATATTATTTCGTAATAAGCTTTCACAAAAGTCACAAAAGTGCTGAGTGTCATCATTCCTCTGAATCAGCACAGTTCCAAACTCAACCATACTCATTCCTAATCCAAGCCAGACAGTATGAAGCAGTTTTGTACACATACGTGCATTCTCTTCCTCAGATTTTTCTACAACTGTGTTGGTTGTAAAGTTTCTTCCTTCACTTTTCCTTTATTAATGGATGTGAAAATCTGCACTCTCAGGAGGCAAATTCTAGAATGATTCAAGGAAAGTACATAAATGAAAATAGCAGAGAAGAGCAGACCACAGAACCTGTATCCTTTCACTCACCTCGTGTTGTTCTGTTATTCTCATTGTTTTTGGACTTGGAATATCCCTCTTTCTACCTGATTTCATAAAACACACATTTCCTCCTATGAGTGCTCCATAGCTTATATACTTTTAAAAGAAATATGTTCCCTTTGAAAACAGTTTGAAGAACTTTACATTTATGAAATCCTTTATGGACTCCTAAGATTTAAAACAAAACAAAAGCCTTTTAAATTATTCCCTCTGATGATGAAGCCAGGGAGGCAGATAAGGTTCAAAAGAGGCTGATCTCTACCAACTGAGAGAGATCAACGGCTGCCTTTTTATGCCTTATTTTAGCCTCAGAATTGTGAAACCAGTGAAAGTTAGAGCTGGCATCGACCTCAGAGATCATCTAGTCTAACCTCATTTTACAGCTGAGGAAAGTAGAGTCTGGACAAACTGAGTGCCTACTCCAAAGTCACAGAAGGAGTAAACGTGTGGCAACACTAGTTCTAGAATGCAAGTCTCCTGACTCCCAATGTTTCTGAACATCACACTATACAATTGAGGGTCATTTTTGTACTCCCAGGGTACAGTATTTAGCAACTGATAAAATCTGTTAAAAAATAAGACAAAAACTCTACTTTTTTAGGGAGTTAGAATGAATGCTACAATCAACTACAAAACACCAGGACTGCATACTGGGTAGAATGGGCACCAGAAAGAAGAATGAGCCACTCCAAACACCACTATCCCCAACTCCACATGCCTGCCAAACTGGTCATGTGTGAGGGACTCAACTCTTGAGACTGACCAGCTTGTTTAGTAAACTGGGTGGATGGTGGCACCATCTACTGGACATAGAATAAAATGGAAACAGCCAGCTCTGAAAAACAGCCAGAGAAAACCTACTTTAATGTTTGACCAAGGTGGACAACCTCTCTTTTTCATGCAGGTTTGAATTACCAACCCAAGAATGACTAATCTTGGTCCCTTACAACTTTAGTTTCACTAGGATCTCAAAAATATGTGGTTAATTTGCTTTTGGCGCCCTACTGTGGCATTTCTTTGACCCTCGTCCTCTATTTGTAGACTACACAGTTTACTTGATCTCACACCATAGAGGAGTTAAAAGCATCAGATCCCTCTAAACCTTTTTATCTGTAAATAGGGACTATAATAGTACTGACCTCATTGGGTTGTTTGAAAGGGTTAAAAGAAATAATACACATAACAGCACTTAGCAAGTGCCAGGCATTGTAAGGGTTCAATAAATAGGAACTACCATTGTTTTTGAAAGTAAATCCACCCTCTGATCCCACGGCCAGCTCTCAATATGGTGCCTCAAACAAACAAGAGTCTAAGAGGTCAACCTGGAAGTTTAATTCTATTTATCCAGTAGAAGATGGAATTTTTGATTCTGGAAATTTCAGATGGTTTAACCTTCTAAGGGAGAAGGTTAAAATCAATGGAAAAACTGGAAATCTTGGGAATTCTGTTCACATTGAATGCCTCAAGAATAAAAATCACAGTTGTTTCTGAGAAGCAGTTCTCTAAAAGGTATTTCAGTCCCTTACCAAGGATACCTTAAGAAGAACAATCTTCCTGATTGGCTTCGTGTTGTTGCATCTGACAATGAGACATAAGAATTTTATTATTTCCAGATTAGTCAAGATGAAAATGGATCAGAGTCTGAGGACTAGATGAAGCCTCCCCTGATAGGGCTTTGCTTAATAATAAAACAAATTAACATATATGAGAAAGAAATATCTAGAAACAGACTTTTACTTTATCGGTGAATAAAAAACACTACTCTTAAAAAAAAAGTAAATCCTCAGGTAGAAAGACCTAAGAGCAAAAACAAAATTCACCAAACAATATGAAGAGAGTTGAAATAATTAAAATTCTGCAGTCTTTGAGTAATTGGTTTTTACCAGCCTGCTGCATATGGTACTCCATAGTGATTATTTTTTCTGGCTCCCAAAATAATTGGATCTCATATATAGATACTAAAATTGTAAGTTAAATGGAAAACTTTCAGTAATTTTACCACATTCATTAAGACATATGGAGAGCTGTCTTCAGGTACCATAAAAACACAACCAGAAATTAGGACTATGGGCACTTAACATGTTAATTAGATTAAGAGATTACAGCACAGCACTCTGAAATACTGGGAGAGACCTTTTCAGATGTTGCAAAACCAAGACTAAAAGTTATGGCTGTAAATGCTTAATGTAAAATTAAATTAATAATTATTGTATGTGATAATAGACTGTCGCTGGCACAAAAACTGCCTGAAATAGGACACATCGTATCTAGTATCTTTCAAAGGCAGAAATGGAATATACTTTGAGGAAATAAAACTATACTTTGAGGAAATAAAGATCTTTTTTGTTTTTGTTATTTTAACAGGTGTATATATCCATTTTAAAATGTGGAAAACAGTAGAATAGAAATAAACCACACTCAGTTTCAACACTCAGGCATATAATTATTTCCTTCCCACCAATTCACAGTAAACATTCAATCATTCAACCAATGTTTATGGAGCACCTAGTATGTGCCAGGTACTGTTCTAGGTCCACAGGATATATAATAAACAAAAGAGACAAAATATTGAGCTTATATTCTAGCTCTGTGGCTTCCAAACTTAATCTTACACCAGAAATCCCCTGGAGGGCTGTTAAAACAGACTGTGTTAAAACAGTTTCTAAGTAAGTAAGTCTGGGGTGAGGCCTGAGAATCTGCATTTCTAACAAGTTCCCAGATGATGATGATGCTCCTGGACCACACTTTGAAATCACTGTCCTAGTGAAAGGAAGATGAATATATTATAACTATCATAACTAAGTAAAATGTCTAGTATGTTAGAAAACAAGTGCTCTGAGGGGCTGGCTGGTTAGCCCGTGTGGTTAGAGCATGGTGCTGATAACGCTAATGTCCAGGGTTTTATCCCTGTACCAGCCAGCCACCAAAAAAAAGTACTCTGGAAAAGAAAAATAGACCAAGGTAAGAGTAGTTGTATACAGAGCTGGTATTCTTACTTTTCATTTAAATAAAATATCCAATTTCCCATATTTTAATAACAACAGCAAATAGCTCTTAACTATTGTCAGGCAGTGTTCTAAGGAATTTACATATATTAACTCATTTACTTCTCACAAAAACCTTATGAAGTAGACATTGATTTATCCTCATTTGGCAGGGGAAATTAGTTAGGTTAAAGTAACTTGACAAGTCACACAGCTACTAAGAGGTGGATATGAACCTAGGCAGTCTGGCTCTAGAATTCCTACTGTTAAATATTACACTATACTGCTTCTTAATTCATATAAAATATTCTTCAGAAATGTTATTTTTAATGGCAGAAGAAATACTTTGTCAGGCTAGAATGGACATACATTATAATCTCTATTCCACAGGTAGGTACCCTTGATATTCTCACTCACCATGCAAAAAAGTCTACTTCTCTAAAGTTCATCATTCACCCAATTGACCAAGTAAGAAAACACGGATACCCTTGAATCTTTCTCCCTATATCATATCCAATCAGGCTGGTTGATTTCTGCCTCAGAACCACCTCTTAGATTTAGTGCTCTCTAGATTCCCTTGTTACTTAGATGACTGCCACAAAGGCTCATTATACAGTCCCCCGTACCCAGATTCTTATGCCTCTCTCTTGTCCTGTATATAGCCACCAGCGCCCTCCTTCTAAAATAAAATCCATATTAATCAGCTGCTTAAAATTCTTTACTGACTCTGTATCAAGTCAAATGTCTTAAATGTGACACTTAGGTCCCTTCAGGATCTGGCTGTGTCTCTCTTTCCTCATCTACTACTACTTTCCCACATATACTTTAAGTTCCATAGTTGGGAGTACAGGAGGCCCCCTTATCAGAAGGGGGTACATTTCAAGACCCCCAGTAGATGCCCCAAACCTCGAACAGTACCAAATGCCATACATACTGTTTTTTTCTATACATATATGCTTATGATAAAGTTTAATTATAAATCAGTAAGATTAACAATAACTACTAATAAAATAGAACAATTATAACAGTAATACACTGTAATAGAATATGTGAATGTGTGTGTGTGTTTCTCTAAATATTTTTGGACAGTGGGTAACTGAAACCTCAGAAAGTGAGACCATGGATGGTGGTGGGGAGGGGCTATGTATTTAATTTTTTATTCCTTTGTTGCCTCTTCCCAGTTCCCCTCTGTGTGGCTAACTCCCATTCAACCTCTTACATATTGTAGCAGCTCAATTTGAGAGGAAAAGAAGAAAAAAAAAAGCCTTTCATTCAGTCTGAAGTTCTTTCTGTAAAGCTTCCCTTCTCCCACACACCCAAAGTTAGCTTTTTTTTTTGACCGGTAAGGGGATGGCAACCCCCAGCACGGTGTGGTCTGCACCATGCTCAGCCAGTGAGCACACCAGCCATCCCTGTGTAGGATCCGAACCCACGGCCTCAGCACTACTAGCGCAGTCTCCCGAGTGAGCCACGGGCCGGTCCTAAAGTTAGCTTTTTTTTAATGGTCTCAGAGAACTTTACTTTAGGATCCATCACATACTTTGTTGTAAATTTGCTTCCTTTTAAGACAAGAACTCTCCCAAGTCCTCAGGCCCAGCACAGTGGCTGATACATAATAATTCTCAATAAATGTTTATTGAAAAATGATTGAATTTAATTACAGGGCAAAACTACATGCAAGGGCTGTGCTATGAACATTATGTAGTGTCTACTAATTCATGATGGGCATTAAAGCTCTGAAAAATTTATGAAGTGGTTTCTGAACTAGAAAAAGGATTCAGACAAGTACTGTGCTTAATTAAATTCAATTTATTCAACAAATCTTTATTGAGCAGTATGAACAAGTTAGTGAATAAGGGGATAAAGTTGTTGAAATTCTTATTATAACTCTGGGGACATGTATACTTTGTTTACTTATCTGTTAAATAACTAAGTCTGTTAACAGCAATTTTGTGTTTGGGTAGAAATTTACACTTTTCATGGGCCAGCCCAGGGCTCACTTGGGAGAGTGTGGTGCTGATAACACCAAGGCCACGGGTTTGGATCCCTATATAGGGATGGCCGGTTAGCTCACTTGGGAGAGCCTGGTGCTGACAACACCAAGTCAAGGGTTAAGATCCCCTTACCTGTCATCTTAAAAAAAAAAGAAAGAAAGAAAGAAAGAAATTTACACTTTTCTGATTACCCTCTTTGCAGAAATGGGAAGAAGTTTAGTGTCTTAATCCATTTTTTGTTGCTATAACAGAATACCACAGACTAGGTAATTTATAAAGAAAAGAAATTTATTTCTTATACTTCTAGAGGCTGGTAAGTCCAAGGTTGAGGGGCCTGCCTCTGTGAGGGTCTTCTTTCTGCAGTCATCCCATGGTAGAAGGTGGACGGGCAGGAGAGCGTGAGGGAGCAAGAGAGGAAGGCCTAGCTCGCTTTTATGACCAACCCACTCTCTTGATAACAAGTCCACTCCCGATAACAACATTAATCCGTTCGTGAGGGCAGAGCTTTCATGATTTAATCACCTCTTAAAGGTCCCACCTCTCAACATTTGCATTGGGGATTAAGTTTCCAAAACATGACTGTTAGGGGACACATTCAAACCATAGCAGCCAGGTAGACAACAAAGGTGAATACAACTAACTCAGTTTTCTATTTTTCAAAACAGAACACTTTTTGCATTATTTAGCCTTACAGAAACAGACCTTGCAAAATTTAAATCAATGCCAGGCTAAAAATGCAGACTACTTTTCAACCACATAAATCAAATCCCAAGCTCCTGCACAATACTTTTTAACTGCATCCCATCTTATTTACAAAAACATGCACATCTTTCACCATGGACTACAAGGCCCCTCATGATCTGGCCCTGCCCACCTCTCTCCTTTGCTCACTCTATCCCAAACACACCAACCTCCCTGCTCTTCTTACAACACTCCAAGCTCATTTCTGCTTAAGGACCTTTACAGTGCTATTCCTTCCTCCTGACACTCATTTCTCCCAGATTTCTGCATGGTTTACTCCCTCACTTCATTCAAATCTTTGCTCAAATGCCATTTCCTCAGAGAAGCCTTTTACAGCCACCTTATTTAAAATTGAAACCTCCCTCCTCCATTCCCTTACCCTGCTTTATTTTCCTGTTTTGCCCTTAAAACTACATCTTGATATTTATATAATGTTTATCATCTACCCACTGGAATGAAGATTTGTATGTCTTTTTCACTGTAATTTGCACTATTAACCAGCACCTAGGACGCTGCCTGGCACACAGCAGCCTCTCAATAAACATATATTAAACAAAAGTATGAATTTCATTCTCAGTAGAGTCATTCAATTCATAAGACCTTGGGTAATTCACAGAGCAAACACCCAAGCTCTGAGCCTGAAGTAAAAACAATAAAACAAAGTCTTATCCTCTTTGACATCAAGATCTATTTGTTCAGAAGCAAGAACTATATAGTAGGTCTTCCTATTGATTTAGAGCTGAAAAACTCTAGCTCCTCCAGGCAGAGCTTGCAGCAACCCTAGTCCTGAAACTAAGGGGCAAGGAAATAGCCTCAGCAGTAAGAAAGTTCTAAACAGAACCACACCTAAATGCCACAATCCTGGTTTTGAAGACTAACCCCACACATTATGATTCTTTAGGGTTTGTAACCCTTTTGGGGCTACCTACGGATCCTTTGTAAGTCTGGTGAAAACTATGTACTTTCTCTCTCTCTCTCTCTCTCTCTCTCTCTAAGTACAAAGATGTCGATTGGCTTTACTGCCATCCCAGAATTGGGCTACACTTCATTCTATAAAATAGAATACGTGTTTTCTAAATCAGAATAAGTATTATTCTCTCGAGAATAATGCTTTTAAACGCGTAAAAACAAAATAGAGCTGCAAGATACCCATTCTACTGAAATCCAGGACAGCACATTTAAGAACCGTATACTCTTCTTGTCACAGTGAAAAAAGAGAAAATTTTGAGGGTCATGGGATCGCAGAGAGACGACAACCGGACGTCTATCCTTGAGCACGTCCCCAGTTCACCCCAAACGGCAGCAGGGAGCTCCTGGCGCTGGGACCCAGCCAGCCCTGGAGAGCATTTCTGAGGATGAGGAGCAGAAAGGGGGCCCGGATCTGGGAGGAGGATGGAGGCTCTTCCTCCCAAAGCGCGAGGCCGAGCTCCCCCCAGATCGGCCTGCCCCCGCCTCACCGGTCCCTGCAGTCCCCAGCAGCCGCTCCGGCACTCCTCGTAGGTCTTCATGGAGGCCGCGGAAGATCTCGTGCAGCTTCTCGAAGTGCTCCGAGGAGCCGGCGGAGGTGGCCATGGCGCAGGCCGCGCTCGAACAGCAGCCGCCGAGATTTGGGGCGCTGGGCCCGCTCCTAGCCCGGCGGTCAGCCGCCCAGCCCCGCAGCCATCACAGCGACCGCCGCGCAGGATGAGGCGCTTCCGGGGCCGCGGCGGGGTCCTCCCGAGCAGGAACGCCCACCCTCTCCAGCCTGTCACTGCCGGAGCGCCAGGCGCGAAAGCCTGACGGGAAGTCGGGCGGGCTACGTTGTCCGGGCGACTCCTGGGGGAGCGGCGCCACACCGGGGAGAGTAGCAGTTTCGCAGTCCCTGAAATATCCGGTCTCAATAAAAGATTATTAATTTACAAATATAAAATGTGAAGACTGTGGTCTTATAACTCTTCCTCACCAAAGTTAACATATAATTGTCAGTTCAAGAAAATCACGAACTCTATTAGAATAACATACTCCGAGTAAGTGATGGGAACATTACCAATTCCTGAGACTTACTTTGGTAGCGTTTCCTTTGATAAAAGTTCTTCAAATAAAATATAGAACTTTGACAAAGACTTTTTGATCTTGTCAAGATAATGAAAGGAAATGCCCTGAAAGATCCTTAAATTTACTATAATTACCAATATCGGTCCTTAAGATAATTTTTCTGAATGAAGAATTGGTTTTTTTTGTTTGTTTGAGTTTGGGTTTTTTTCCTGCCACATTGACTGACTGGTATTGGTTAAGATAGTGTCTCATCAGTCCTGCTAACTTGGGTGCTCACTCTTAATTATTCTAGAGCTGTTTTTTAATGTCTTTTATTGTTTTTTAAATTCTTAACTAGTTCCTTCATTTCATGCCTTATCTCCCAAGATTATTCTTTTTGGGGGCTTCTTTCCTGCTAACCCTGTGGTTCTTAGTGGTTAGTTACCAGCATATACAGAGTCTGCTTCCCTCTGCAGCTCTTATTTGTATAAGACTGGATGACACTGGTTTGCTCCAGCTCATATCATTTACCAGCTGTTTTGAATTTTGTGAAAATACTCCAAACTACATAAATGTACAAGACATGCAAAGGCATACACAATGACAATGACCAAAAAGCCTTTCCTTTCTTCTGGTTTTCTAAGAGAAACTAAGGTACAAGAAGGAGGCCTCCATGGTTCTGGGTCAAGAACTGAAGCCAAGTGGCCTATCTTCTCATAGTGGTCTTTTCAATACCCCCTTGCTGGTCTGAGAAACAGTAGGAAAATGATACTTTGAACTTGGTTTTTATTTCTGCCTTCCCCCAATCCCCACAAACTTCTCAGAAAAGGAAGCTCTTCTGTGGTCTAGGAAAGTGGCCTTAGATTATCAGAGATAAGGCCATGCTATAATTCAAATTGAGGAGTGTCCTGAAAGAATCCAGATGTTGATGCCATGACAGTTAAAGAGGTGAGGAACAAGCCCTGCTCTTGAGCCAAGCCACTGTGACTCGTGGAGTTTAGCTGAGGTTGCAGTGTGGCCCTCTTGAAGTGAAGATTGGTTGGTTGGGAGGAACTACATTGTGCACAAGAGGGTAGAAACTTGTCCAGATTCCCATAAATCAACCCTGCCATAGCTTACATTTTCCTAGGTAGTAGTAGGTTTCAGCAGGAAAATATGAGCTGTGCAAATCACAGGAGGTTCTTCTTGTGCTATGATATCTCTAGTAACTCCAGTGGTAACAGGAATGAAAGGCATTGACAGGAATGTGGCGGTGTACTGGGTTTATCTGGACAAAAGCAGGCAAGGCTGGAAGGTTTCGCTCTCTTTGTGCTCAATGTTTTGGCCACCTCGAAGGACAATCATTTTGGCAAGAAGTACTCCAAAGTCTTCTGCAGTCTAATTTTGGGTCCAGTTGCTACCACCTGTCAATCCATTGGGAGGCCCAGCAGGTCACAGCTGACATCCCACAGCCGCCTTGCTATTGTCTCATTACGAGCCTGGGCAGAGACCCATGCCACATGGCAGTCACTGGAAGGGAAAGAGAGAGGCTTGAAGCATAAAGTTAAGAATGGAGTCTGCTCTCTGCCTAGGCTAAGGAATACGACAGAAAAACAACCCAGGGATCACATGTCCTCCAGGTGTTTCACAAGGCCAGTGTTTGTCCCTTTTACCTCATACTCCAATCTCTACCTCAGAGAAAATATAATTGCCATTTTAAATCTCCTCACTAGACCGCCATTGATCAAAATGCTTTCTCTGATATATAATACAAGTCTATAAAGTCCATTCTACAGGGTTACGGACAGTGTCATGTAGCTGAGATTCTGCTATTTACATTGGTCACAGGTGCTTGAAGTGGTAAAAAAAAAAAGAAAAAAGAAAAAAACTTCCTATTTCTAGACTACCTGCAGTTAGAACTGTTTTAAAATTCAGATGACAAGTAAAGCCAGCTTCATAAACAACAAAAGAAGGAAAAAGTGATAGCAGAAAAGAAATAGTAACAACAAGGTACTAGGTGTGTCTTAATCCATTTTGTGCTGCTATAATAGAATACCACAGACTGGATAATTTATAATGAACAGAAATTTACCGGCTCACGATTATGGAGGCTGGCAAGTCCAAGGTCCAGGGGCCAGCATCTAGTGAGGCCTTTTTGCTGTGTCATAACATAATGGGAAGCATCACATGGGTGACAGAGAGGGAAGGGGGTCCAACTTATCCTTTTATAAGGAACCAACTCCATGATAAGGAACCCACTCCTGAGATAATGGCATTAATCCATTCATAATGGCTGCCCTCATGACCTAATCACCTCTTAAAGGCCACACCTCTCAACACCATTGTATTGGGGATTAAGTTTCCAACACATGAACTTAGGGGGACACATTCGAACCACAGGGAGGTGATTCATATACTTCTCTTCATTGCTGTACTCCCAAGTGTTTTAAGTCCCATTAAATCCCAACTCTGCACCATGCAGAAAATTTTCTCAAGGACAATTCTCTTACTCATTTTTGTATTCCATGCATCTAGTACATAGTAGTTATTCAATGAAGGTTTTTTAAAAAATGATTGAGTGAATGGATCGCAATCTTTCAAATCATGTGAGAAGCAATTTTTAAAAATATATTATTTTAGTGCCAGCCCGTGGCTCACTTGGGAGAATGTAGTGCTGATAACACCAAGGCCACGGGTTTGGATCTCTATATAGGGATGACCAGTTAGCTCACTTGGGAGAGTGTGGTGCTGACAACACCAAGTCAAGGGTTAAGATCCCCTTACCGGTCGTCTTTTAAAAAATAAAATAAAGTATATTATTTCAAGAAAATTGCTTCCTGGCTATTCCAAGCAAATTCTGAAGGTGAAAGAAGAGTTGACAAGTCTGAAATAACCACATGAACTGAACTCCTAACACTATGTCCGTTGGCCGTGAACCAGCAGCAGGAGCGTGATCTGGGAGCTTGCTAGAAATACCAATTTTCAGGCTCTTTTCAGCTAGTTCTCTGGATGAATCTTGAACACACTAAAGTTTAAGAAACACCACTTAAAAGTATCTTCACATTACAAAACAAGCATTATAGGTATAGTACTTTTTTTTTTTTTTTTTGTCCTTTTTGAGACCGGCTGCACCGTGCTCAGCCAGTGAGCACTGTGAGCGCACCAGTCATTCCTATATAGGATCCGAACCCGCGGCGGGAGTGCTGCTGCGCTCCCAGCGCCGCACTCTCCCAAGTGCTCCACGGGCTCGGCCCTAAGTATAGTACTTTTGTTTAAGCAAACACCAGCACAACCAGCACAACCTGCCACTTCTGAATGAAAAGACCAACACCAAGAATCAAAGGCTGTATCTCTGTAAATGATTTGGACTCTGTAAGCTTCTGCATCCTCCACTGCTCTGTGCCTTATACTCTTCATAAGGTTACAGTGAAGAGCAAACGACAGAATAGACATGAAGGTGTAAGCTACGAAGTGCTATAAAAACTTTCAAATACTATAGTAAGAGCTGCTTAAGTATGGTTATGGCCCATGGTCACAGTGCTGATATTTCCAGTGGGATTTTGGTAAGAATTACTACACATAAAACATTGACTGATTTCAAAACTTACTACAAATCTATAGTAATCAAGATAGTGCGGTACTGGCATAAGGATAGACATAGAAATGAATGCGACAGAATTAAAAGTGCAGAAGTAAACCACTACATTTATGGTCAATTGATTTTCAACAAGGGTACTGTTATAGAATGAACTTTGACACTCCCCTTGCAATCCACATATGGAAGTTCTAATCCCCCATGTGACTGTATTTGGAGATAGGGCCTTTAAGGAGGTAATTAAAGTTAAATGAGGTCATAAGAGGGAGGACCTAATCCATTAAGACTGGTGTCCTTATAAGAAGAGGAAGAGACACTGGGAGTGTGTGTGCACAGAGGAAAGGCCATGTGAGGACACAGGGAGATGGTGGCCATGTGCAAGATAGGAAGAGAGCCTTCACCAGAAGCTGGGCTTCACCTAGCATGCACATGGCCTTCACCTGCCTGCACCTTGATCTTGGACTTCCAGTCTCCAGAACTGTGAGAAAATAAATGTCTGCTGCTTAAGCCACCCAGTCTGTGATATTCTGTTATGGCAGCCTGAGCAGACTAATACAGCTACCAAGAAAGAATAGTCTTTTCAACAAATGGGGCTGGGACAACTGGATATCCACATGCAAAAGAATGAAGTCGGACCCTTACTTCATACTGTATATAAAAATTAACTCAATATGGATCATAAGCCCAAATGTAATGCTAAAACTATAAAACTGTTAGGAGAAAACACAGTAGTAAGTTTCTGACCTTGGGAAAGGCCATTGGTTTCTCAGATATGACACCAAAAGCACAAGGACAAAAGAAGAAATAGATAAATTGGACTTCATCAAAATTTAAAACCTTTGAGGGCCAGCCCATGGCTCACTTGGGAGAGTGTGGTGCTGATAACACCAGGGCCACGGGTTCGGATCCCTATATAGGGATGGCCGGTTAGCTCACTTGGGAGAGTATGGTGCTGACAACATCAAGTCAGGGGTTAAGATCCCCTTGCCAGCGCCAGCCTGTGGCTCACTCAGGAGAGTGCAGTGCTGATAACACCAAGGCCATGGGTTCGGATCCTATACAGGGATGGCCGGTTCGCTCACTGGCTGAGCATGGTGCTGACAACACCAAGCCAAGGGTTAAGATCCCCTTACCGGTCATCTTTAAAAAATAAAATAAAATAAAACTTTTGCACTTCAATGGGCATTTGACACCATTAAGAAAGTGAAAAGACAACCCACAGAATAAGAGAATATCTGCAAATCATATCTGATAAGGGACTTGTATCCAAACTATAAAGAACTCTTGCAACTCAACAATAAAAAGACAATAATCCAATTTAAAAATGAGCAAAGGATTTGAAAAAACACTTCTCCAATGAAGATAAACAAATGGATAGATAATAAAGCATATGAAAAAGTGCTCAACTTCATAAGCAAGAAAATGAAAATGAAGAGATACTACTTCACACTCACTGGGATGGCTAAAATCAAAAGGACAGACAATAATGCATGTTGTTAAGGATGTAGAGAAACTGGAACACTCATACACTGCTGGTGAGAATGTAAAATGGTGCCACCACATTTTTACATGGCAGTTCCTCAACAGTTAAACATAGAGTTACCATATGACCCAGAAATGCTACTTCTATATATCCAAGAGAAATGTCCATACAGAAATTTTTATACAAAGGTTCACAGCAGCATTTACTCAAATAGCTGAAAAGCGGAAACCCAAATGCCCATCACTGATGAATGGATAAATAAAATGTGGTATATCCATACAATGAAATATTACTCAGCAATAAAAGGAATGAAATACTGATACATGCTACAACATAAATGAAACTTGAAAATATTACACTAAGTGAAAGAAGTCTGTCACAAAAGGCCACATATCATATGATTCTATCTATATGAGATGTTCAATATAGGCAAATTCTTACAGATAGAAAGTAGATGAGTGGTCACAGACAGAAAAAACAGCCAGTGAGAAGTTCCTAAGGCTTCAATCTAAACAGACTTTTATGGGGCCGGCCCAGTGGCTCACTCGGGAGAGTGTGGTGCTGATAAACAGACTTTTATGTTCATTTCTTGATATGAACATATGGCCTACATGGCTGCTGCTGGATCTTCAAAAGAAGTAAAATTAAGAATCCATAGTATGAGAAAGACTCTTCAGAAGTCAGTTCAGTAATTACTAAGTTATGGGTTTGAGACTGATTTTCTTTAAACCACTTAGTCAAAACCAAGATAAAAGTGTTATTATTTTTTTTCCTTAAAATCTCCAGGGAAAGGCCGGCCCGTGGCTCACTCGGTAGAGTGCGGTGCTGATAACACCAAGGCCACGGGTTCGGATCCTATATAGGGATGGCCGGTTTGCTCACTAGCTGAGCGTGGTGCTGACAACACCAAGCCAAGGGTTGAGATCCCCTTACCGGTCATCTTTAAAAAAAAAAAAAAAAAAAAAAAAA